ATTTAGCTTGAAAAAGACATTGTTGCCCTCCTTAAACACCCCCCCTTGCTGGTTATGGTTAATCAATCATGGCAAAAACCTATTTTTGGCCTTTCTCTTACTAACTTTATAGATTTTAACTTCTTATCTTATACCAGTGTTGTCAAAAGCATAAAGCGCTTTAAAGCACCTTAAAGCGCCTTAAAGCACCTTAAAGCGCCTTAAAGCGCTAGCCCTTCAAAAGGCTTAAGCGGTGAAGTGGAAAGCAAAGCAGGCGCTTCACCGAAATGAGGCGGGCAATACAAAAAAATGACTATGTAATAGTCTAAACCTTTTCAAAATGTGCTCAAAACATGATATATTAATAGAACAAATTTTAAAGTTCATAACATCAATTATCAAAACAGAAAACTAGCAGTACATGTAAGCATAATAGTCAAGAAATTAATATAGTGTAGAAAGTCAAAAACAGCATAATATCATTCCAAAATCTAAGATAAATCATCTGCATCCATGTCATCCTCATTAACTACATTCATTTCATCATCATCATTGCTGTCATCTCCATCACTTGAGTGATAATCCTCAATCTCTTCCTCTGATTCCTTAGTATCAGCCTTTTCTTCTTCAATTTCTTGTACAACAGCTTTTCCTTTAGAACTTGAAGGTTTTAGTGCTGATTGTCTACCACAAATTCTTCTAGTATATTTTCTAAGCTTTTCAGCACCAGAAGCTCTAGCTACCTTTCCCCAAGTCAAGTCATTATCACCAAAAACAAGTTCATTTTCAGCATCATCTTGGTCACCACCCATTTTTCCAATCAACCATTCATTACTATCATCAATATAGTCAAGGGAGATTGGATAAATTTCATCCTTGCTATTATATCGAGCTTTAAAAGCTTGATTACACTTAACAAATACAAGATCTTTCATTTTCTTATGCTTAAGTTTGTTTCTCTTCTTGCTACGAATCTGTCTAATTAAAATAGATTATAGAATTAAATTATACGATAAAGACAATAGGTAATAAGTTAAATTAAAATACTTTTTTGTATTTTAATCATCAAGTGCTAAGTTTATTAACGTTAAATGACTTCTATAGAAACCAAAAATCAAATATGAGATTATGAGTAATTATATAAACTTAAGAAATCAAGAGCTAACCACACTGCAAAAGAAGAATGATCTCAAGCTTTCAAGCAC